TAACGTTGGTCTAATCGCCTACAGAGTTTTTGGGAACCACTGTCACATTCAAGCACTCTGTGCAGGAAGACCCAAGCTTGGTGAGGGAGTCTATTACCGTCGATGTTATGATGGTACTGAGTTCTAGCCTGTCATTACTCATGCTAATGCATGCTCCATCGATGGTAAACCTGTCGACATCCCTATTCTCGTCTTCATTGCGCGTCTTTGTTTGCCTACCCGTTTTATGACTATCTTTTTCCAAGTTTTCTGACAACTTATTCCGCAGACCTGTCAGTAGGACAATGATGTTACACAGCAAAACTATGGCATCCGTGTTGCACATGACACATACCCACTTATGATCTGGCTTGCTGAGTCTGTTGTAAGCAGTTGATATGAGATGTGTGCACGCTTCATGAAATGAACTTTCGCAATTATCGCACTGCATGCCAGATGTAACATCGAGACGGCACCAAGGTCATTTACATGAATTTTTCATGACTATATTGAAGTAAACTGTATTATAGATGCTAGCAAAAGCAGAAGACCGTTAAAAGTACACTAGAAAACACACTGAAAATGGACAAAAATGGATAAAAACGGATGAGATAAACTGAACTAGCCTTTACGTGAAAAACTGAAAAAAAACGGATAGTAAGCTGAAGCGAAACCACAGTGAACTATTAAATTGTGTAAAACTAAAAAAAGTAATCTACCGAACGTATAGCTCAGGATAGATTCTTTTGATCAGATATGGTACTTTCGTTGCGTAAGAACACAGCAAAAGTTTGATAAATGCAAACCACTTTAGGACTAAACTTCCCGTTCGAAAATACACCATAAATGGAATTTGTCCATAACATCCCTGACAAATATATAAAGAAACTTGCAGTTTCCTCTCACTGTTCAGCAACGTTTCAATTTTAAGCCGTGTATTCTTGCGCATAACCCAGACCTAGTACTCCAGAATTAACAGTATGAGTATCACAATAAGGATTCACAAATTATTGAACCCTTTGTTTTGTTACTTCCCGGCTAACAGCTACTCGCGGAATTAGTGAATTTCAGGCGTGATGCGTTACTTGGCTGCGTTTCTTCTCTGTCAGTTAGGTGGTAAGGATAAACCTACTGAAAATGATATCAAAACTGTCCTAAATTCTGTTGGCATTGAACATGATTCTGAGAGACTCGAAAAAGTAAGTTAGCAGTTATAAGTTAACTTTGTAGCTGTTGTCTTCGATATCTGGCAAAGATATACCACAACTAATTGCTGAAGGATCTACGAAGTTATCCTCCATACCATCATCCGGTGCTGTTGTCTCTTCTGCACCTGCTGCGGCAGCATCAAGTAAGACTGAAGCTCCGCAAGAAGTCAAGCCAGCAAAGGTGGAGGTCAAAGAAGAGTCCGAATCAGACGAAGATATGGGCTTTGGGCTATTTGATTAGTACACTTAAAAATAAATGAAGTACGGTTCAGATGCTGGTATTTTGAATTCATGAATGATCTGGGTCGATTTCTTTCAATGTTACTCCATCGCGTTTATTTGTACTGTAAATAGTCAAGTTCTGGTCCGATATCTTACAAAAACAGTAGGTTTGTCACAAGCCCCTTAATTAAGAATTTGGACGCCTACCGTTTAAGTTGCTGCGACGTTTATCCAAAACTGTTAGATTAGATGTTTTCAGGTCTTATTAAAAAGCACGGATATCATGCATTCTCAAGGATCGATTAGTTGACATGAGTGCAACATAACTGAAATTTGCTTGTCCTCTTAATTAACTTTTCTGTTACTGTCAAATTTATCCGTCTGAAATTTCGTTGAGCATCTTCGGATGCTGCAAGAAGACATTTATTCATTCAAGCTATTTCGTGTTCTGTTTGCATTATAGTTTTCTCGCTCATGCTCGGCACATGTGTAGTTGTCTCACAATAAGTGATCGATTTCCAGCGTTGTTTGTGTAATTAACAAGCATTTATCCAGATCTGTCTGGTTATACCCAGTAATTTTAATTCAATATTTAGCCATTGTATAGTGGGATTTGAACATCCTACTGCTCGTAAGTATGGGTATACTCGACAATCTATAATTTTAATTGTTTCTGGTTCCTACTAATGTAAATTAGTCCTCTCCCTGTTTGTGTGAAGGACATACCGTTTCTCATGGGCATTGCTATGATGACTATGCTTATGTTTTAATTTTTAATACTAAGGTTATGAGCGTCGGGTGGTCGGTCCGTATTGCATCTGGATCCAACCGTGTCCTTGCTTCGGTTTATACCCGGGCTGTATCCGAGCCCTCGCATAAGTCGGATGATTTATGTGGCGCATATCTATTTCGCGCCTCCTTTTACTAGTGTTTGTGTTTAAATAAATAATAACTATTGCATCGCTTATCATGTTATGGTTATCTAACGCAGTCAGCTATCGTCACTTCCTATGTATACATGCGTGTGAATATTCTCAGTAAAGTGTTTTACGGATATTGAGGGTAAATGCGTCTTTGTCAACGGGTTATTCTATTTTGCATTTGAAATTTCACGCGGTAGTCCATTATGTATCATACATCGAATTCATCTTTGTTCATCATTTCCAGACAGTTATTCTATATTCATGACGATAGATGTGCTGGCGAAGCTAAGTGCAGGTAAACTCAGGCGTGCTGCAAAGTGCATCGACCCAAATATAACATGGTTGAGTGTCACCGGATTAATTCTGATAAAATGTGCATTTTTATGATGGTTGTATTTTACCGATGGAAAATGAAAAGAAGAACTCATTACGATTTTCTCCAGTCATGTTTGCGCACGTTGGTTCCAAGCTAGGTTCAAGAGCAGACTAGCTACGTGTAGGGTATCACTGAGTAAAAATAATGAATATATCAATATCTTTTTAGTCTAGAGTGCGACATTATTTTAGTGTTTTTCCAGTAGTGTCTCATATGTATTTATTCATATATGCAAACAAATATTCCAGCAGGTGGTTAATCTTTTTGTACGGTTTATTTGTTAACTCATCTGGGTTTTGTAGTATGGTGTTCAGTAATATTGATATTGAATCAAGTAGCAAACAATATGTAGTTGCATATTTTGGGTCACTCTTTGAATATCTGTGTAAAAACTGGCCAGTACAAAGGAGCAAAACTCGATTTTCAGACATCCACAAAAATAAAGGAGCAACACGAAACTTAGGAAATGTAACGTCTCTAGTTGTTTCTTGATCGTCTTGCAGATCCAACTAGGTAAAAGGTTCTAATATAATGTTAATTTGTAAGCATGTAGTTCAGAATGGACTTGATCATTGAAGCCAGTGGAGCTTAAGGGTGTGGTTAGTCTAAAATTGCAAGAAGCTCTTGTTGACGTGAATAAGGATGTGATGTATAGGGATGTTCGGTAGTGTCACTTGCTCTCACACCGTAGTGTTGAATGTTGTCAATCTCATTTTTCAATTATCAGTAGGCTGAGTATTTATAAACCGGCCTTCAAGCTTATTTCTGTTAGTAATAATCGGCGAACTTGTGGGTCTGTAAAGGATATACCACATCAGGAAGGTGAAGTAATAGTAAGATGGGTCGGAAAGTATTCGTATTAGGTTCAACGACTAGAACTAGAAGAAATGTTTTGAAAAGACGGGATGAAATAGAGGGATAACTAGCGTGAGATAATATTAGAACCCAAGGTTGAGGAAGATTAAATAGTAATTGTGACGTATGAACGGCTATATATATACTACTAGCTTTGACTTCAAAACAGGCACTTTCGAAATATAGAGGACACAGTTATTCGCTAGCTTGATTCCAAAACAAACGTGTATTCAAATCGCCTACTTTTTTCTCATGGACTACAACCAATAAATGTGTTAACTGGTGGGTATTTTTCAATTCACTCGTGTTAACAAGCGTGGGTTTCCTGAGATCATGTTCTAGTACGAGTGGTACATCATCTAATTGCTTCATTCGATTATAATTCAATGTTATCAATCTCCTAACCTCAACATTAATTGCTGTCATCCCACTACTTACGAGTGATGCTTCGAATACACCCGTCATACAACACGTGCAAAATGCGAATGTTTTCAGAATAAAGTTATGAGTAGTGATTTTATCAGTTCATACTTCGGTTCTGAGCAAAAAAGTACTCGTCAGGGACGTGGGTGTTCATTGACTGATACTCTCAAATGTGTAGTGTTTTACAGTGGCGACTAATAATAATAAATTCGGATACCAAATAAAATTATACTGAATATATACTAGTTGGGTGAGACTTCAGCGGGTGTGCAGATTTATCACGAGGTGTGGTAGATTCAAGGTAGTGAGTTCATTGGTTGCACAACCCAACTCCTAGTAACTCCTACTTTTTGATTTTTCTTGAAATACTCAACTTTCGTTGAGAGCATACAGCTCTGCATTTTTGTGGTACAATCTCACTCTTGGTTCGCGTTTCACTTTCGAAATCATAGTACAGTCAAATTCTGCAACCCGAGTTATTGTACCATCAATGAATAGATAAGCAGCTAGTAAATTGTCTAGCTTTGTTACAACAAATATTGAAGTTTACAAGTTAATAAAGGAACTCTAGCATAAAATGTAAACTAAAATAATTGATAAGTCTGTATTTTTTGTAATCAGTTGGTTTTTATTCCGAGACAGTTACATCTCATAATGTATTGCCAAAGTCATACAAGAAAATTGCAAACATGTTAGAGAAAGATCTATACAGGTTAGAAAGTATATACAGCAAAGATTACAAAAGTATATATTCATTTGTCATGTATGGGACTGTGAAATGCAAAAGGAATTATTTTCAAAAAAGCTTGACAGCCATGTGGTATGTGTTAGTCACATTTATTTTATGTGAAAGGATTAGCGACCAACTCCTGGTAGTTGCTGTTGACATAGATAATTGAGTCGACGTGTAGAGTTTTCGAGTAGTAATTAAATTGAGAGACTTTAATGGAGGGTCAAATGATTGAACTGATGACGGGTCGTTAAAATTTTGCATTCTTTGAAAATCTGTGCAGGTTACTTATTATTAACGTAATAATGATTATTCTGATAGTTTTTTAATAAGTTTGTGTCGTATATTTGTAGATCAGTTGGATTATTCCTAAGTTCTGCGCGTAGCAGCAACAGAAATACGGTTACCTATGAGAAAATGATATGAAGGAAAGTGGTTTCTTACAAAGGAATGGCTCAAATGATTAAAGTTGGTACATTTCAATTAGTGAAGTTACGGGACCGAACCTCACTTCTTACCTATTTCACTTTTACTCACTGAGTAGTATGATTAACCTTTAAATGAACATTGGTTCAAGGTATACAAGTCTACTACTTGGTAAATAAGCCACGTTAACATATATTTTTTATTACGACGTTGGAATATCGGTATTTATTATTTAGTTTGTTGGACGGAGACTACAACTCTCAATCTCTCTCTACTTTGAACATTTTCAAAAAAAAATTGTAATATTTGAATCTAATTACTAATTACTAACATATTGTTGGACTTTTGAATTTATTGTTTGAATTAACAAAGGTTTTGTTTTCACGCTCTTTAGTCTCTATTTGCTAATAAGTTCTCCACATACATACTTCAGTATCACTGTAGTTTAAGTGTAAGTGTAAACTTCAAGTTTAAAGTTATTTACTAATTGGGTGAAATGTGTGCTCGACTTTGGTCAATATTTTTTGTTTGAGGGCTAGTTGCACTTGCCCAACAGCGTAAACCGACGTAGGGAGTGCGGAATTCCTATCTGCAACCTGGTAGTCTTTTTAAATTTGTCAGTGTTCTCAGAGGATATATAGCGTTTTGTTAAAAAAAATTGTACAAACATGTCATCGTCTCACTTAGTCAGATAAGGATATTAACTCTACATGTTCTGTTTATATTTCAGGCTCGGAAAAATTGTCATTTTGATTTAATTTTTGCCATAGGAAGTATAATAGCTCAGTAAATGTAGTCAATATTATAAATAGCTTTACATATGTTTTCTAACCAATTATCACGCTTCATTACTGAACTGAGTCTCTGATGCAAATAGTCTTACTCATTTATTGAGGTTACGAACAGGTAAACCAATAAATTATCAATTCAAGTTTTGACTGAATTACATTTTTATTACACGTTCGTGCAGATAAATGGAGCTGATAAGTAACTAATTGATTTAGACATCAGATTCTATGAAACACTTACCAATAAAATAACAGCTGTCAATCCCATTCCGAGTATATATTCAGCGTATGCATTAATATAGTCGACAAGTAGGTTATAACAGCCCTTAAAAAAAGAACATATTGTTATGGCTTAAGATTTTTGTATTTGAAGAACTATATTTCAGCAGTTAAAATGCAAGGAAATATCGATTGCTCGGTAATACCTTATAATAAGGATTGTGGGGAAGTGTAGACTACTCATGAAACCATATTATTGATGCAAGCCGCCCGAATGATTTGAAGTCAGTCTCATCGTAGAACCTGGCACGTGTGTATATCGGCTTAAGTTGCCATACCTCCACAGAGGGAGGTGAAACTGTCAGGGTAGATCCCAGAGAAGTTAGGGTAGTAACAATTTGAGTGGCAATAGAAAAAAACATATAAATCAGTGTAGTGGAAGTTGCGAGGAATTTAGAAGCTTAGAATCTTCGGAAAGACGAAGGATACATCTGTAGCATCGGAAACGATTTTAAGCCGTATCATTCAAAGTCTCTAACCACTGGTTGCGATAATTACGCGGATCACAACCAGGTAGTCTACATCTGTTAATTTGGTTATCCAATTGACTTAATGGATTGATGTCATGTTTTGACTTGGCTACCACTAGGTTTCTCCTAGCTTACCAACGAATTTCTTGTTTTAATGGAGTTTTTAAATTTTCTAATAATTTAGAACATAATATCCTCATTATTGGCATGTTTGTTGATGGATAAATACATTCATCGAGTTATCAATCAGTTCTTTTCAAATCGGCTCTACAGGATTAAGAACGTAACGTAAACAACATAGTCAAAGTGAACAAACGGGACAAAAGTTTAACAACAATCTCCACAACCCTGTACAGATAATCATCACGTGCTTACTAGTGAGTAGCTTCGAGAGGTAATTTTGGAGTTCTAGTGAGAAGCTGTGGTCAGTAGAGTTCAACAATGTCGGGTGTTAGGCAGTTCCTCACCGAACACAACGGAAGATGGTCGCACGATTCCATGGATTGACTGATGTTACACATTAACATTGTTGAGTACAGACCCAGTGGTCTAGAGTTTGAGCGCTCGTGCGCGGTTAAAATCCTGGGTTCCAGTCCCGCATGTAGTACCCTATGCACCTTAATTTTAATGGAATTTACTGAAAAGAAAACAAGATCAGTTCATGATGAAATATAAAATGTTTCTAACCAATCAAATCTATTTAAACGATTTCACTGTAATATTGGTAATTAAAGAATACGTAATTCATTCGTATAGTCGATTGTATCACGAAATAAAACATTGAAATAGCCTATACAGAACTTTAGTCAACTTACTCGATAATATAATGCATCATTATGTGGACCATCTTGGAATGTTGGTGGACCGTATTGCCAATTTTGACAACGTTTCTTATTGCGATAAATTTGTAAAGGGAATCCAGTCAAACCGTCAATTTTAGTTAAGCAACAAGATACGGGGACAAAATGATAGTAAAGATTTGTACCTACAAAAATCAATAGAAATTTCCATACACACAAAAGAAAACTTATTAAATATCATTTTAATGATACAAGTGACTTTTTATATTTATGCAAACACAGTTATAATATTTGTATTGTGATAAAAGCACCACACAATAGAGCTGTAAAAATCTATGCAGGCAAAAGCTATAGTGTTGCGCAATATGAAATGAGTAAAACCTGATTTCAGCTGATTATTAAAGCATCGTTGTTTTTTTGAGGTTACAAACAAATCTAAGTAAGACCATCATTAAAAACTGGGGAGCACTAGACGACGGTTTCGTTCTAGAGTCGTACTTCATAGCAGTATGCTTCCGTGACCCTGCATTCATAGATCAAGTTCGGGACCTTAGTTTTAGCGTCCAGATGCTTAGACTCTAGACCAATGAGTTGGGGTCCCATTATGTTCATTTCTAAATTAGAATTGTATACCTTTGTACCGTGGATCAGTTGTCTACAGGTTAAGCGTCTGTCTGCGAAATCGAAGACCCCGGCTTCAAGTTCCACGTTCGAGGTCGTGGATGCGCACTGTTAAGGAGTCCTGTACTAGGAAGAAACGGCTATTCAGTACTTCAAAGTTGTGAATAAATGTTCAACTTAAATTTGAATTGTCATCTCAGTAAAATTTAATAGGCTTCATAACTTCATACTGATAAATATCATTAATTAACAGTTTTGATCAAATGATTTATGCTTTATCCGATTTATCTAAGTTCAACTGATACAGATTCATATTGTTTGGAATACAAAAGCTTAATATAGTGGATTTTATGAAAATCATTTCATGGATATAATTTTTATTCGATATTATAGATTTGTGAGTAGTTTTCTTGGGATAGAATCATAATATATACGAATTTCTAATTTGGTGAATATTTCACCTGTAATATGAAAATCAATGCTCTGAATGTGATTAATTATCTTAGATGACACTTATTCAACACTGAAGCATATTGAATAATAGAATATTCTAAGCATTTAAACTTACCTACTTTAAAGCACCTAAATGAAGTAGTAATAATAATGATTATTTATATAGGTAAGCAAACAAATTCAATTGAATTATATTTTAGGGATTAAATTGTTGCTTCTCATGGCAACAAGAACATTTAAGATTATCCCTGATACAAGTATAAGGATTGTGTATAATAAATCAACTAGATTCTATTGTAAAAAGTGAAAGTGATTATGAATATACCAGATTAAGAGAAAAAAATTCTTAATAAGACTAAACACTAACTTATTGATAATTAAATTTAGTGTCTTTTTTTTGGGGGGGGGTAAATTCTTTATAAGTAAACAATCATTCAAAGATGAATAAATAAAACTGAGCACCATTTGAGAAAAGGGGAGATTGATTTAACATATCAAAGGTAAACAGAATAGTTTTATGTATTCACAGTTTGTAAACATGTACTAAAGTAATTAACAGATGAGATGGAATGGGGGACTACTGGGTTGAAATATTGAACTGTGAGCAGATTAAACAAGGAAGAATTAGTATGTTGTACATGTCAAATCAACAAGATAAACCAAATTCACCTTAATAAGCCAGTTCAAACAAATAATTCTTATAAACTTCACCGCATCGCATAAGCTTAATGACTATCTGGATTCGGTAGTTAGATGGATAACGCAATGATGTTTGAATCGAACGGTACTCGGTTCGAGTCCCGCAGTGAATATCAACTCTGGAATACATGCACATCCAGCCGATGAATCCCAAATGGGACGGAACAGGCGTCCTGGAATCCACTGCTAGTCATCATCCATCTTTGCTTATTACGTTTGTGTCTTAAGGTAATATTAGGGCAATCCGCACGAGATACACTAACGCCAACAAGAGACTAATCAATTGCAGTCCTAAACATCAATGAGAAGACTCATACAACCAATACAAAAAATGAAGTGAATAATTTTTACGTTCACATTATACGGATTGTAGCATATAGTTAACTACAGGTAGAATCTTAAGTTAGTCCCCAGGCTGTCGGACACAGATTCTTAGTATGGTCAAAGTCACAATAAGTAAACTATTTGGTTTGATAAGCTTTATGTGCTTTTAAAATAAAAATTAACATCATTATTATGCACAAAAACAGAAATTTATAGTCTAGAAAGGAGGGAAAAAGAGCGGCATAAATAAAGTACTGAACAGTAACTAGAGGATATAAAAAAGGATTCCACAAAACTTAATATCGTTTATGACAAACATTTACGATTGTGATTAGGGAATAAACAAAACATAGTCATACAAGGTTAAAAGGAGCCAAGACGATTGACTTGTAGCACAATAATTGATAAGTTCATTTATCAACTATACCTCTAATGCATCTTAAGTTACAATTGATGAATTGACTTTTTGATGTGCTTTAATTGTATTGTGTATCTACATATATTCTTATAGTTTGATTCATTTTAATTACTGTAATTATATTCCCTCACCATTCTTAGTAGTTCGCCTTCATTTCTTATGTTTTTCATTGGAAATTGATGTATTTCTCATAGTTCTTGTTGTATAACTCTCAGTTCAGTTTGTTAACTGCCATTACTGATATGACCCAACTCCTTGGTAAAATTTTGATTTATTGTGTCCTTTTAATAATTGTTTCTATAAACTGATTTGAAGGAAGCACATTCTCGCTGCTTGTATCTTAAAGCGTTGTTAATGCTCCATAGACAACTCATTATTTTAATTTTGTAAAACCTTATTATTTATGTTGCCTTTTTACTTAAAGTTCCACTTCTTTCGAGACAAATCTCGTGTTTTGATTTGAGAACTCAAGTATCACATACTCTTTTTTTAAATCAAAATCCTCAAAACGGTTCAATGCAGAGTAAATTATTCAGTTATTTTTCTGTTATAATGCTAATTTCGTTTAAAAATAAATATAAAAGGTTGAATTTTTTGGGATAATTATTAGCACTAACAAGCTAGGTGTTGGATTATGATACTATCACAGCTTCGTGAACAATAAGGTCACCTTTGTTGTGTATACATGTTTTGTGATATCACTTGTTATACAATCTCACGAGTTGCACTTGTTCGGCGACAAGCAGTTCGGAACTGAATTACAACGACTAAATGAATTACACAGTGAGTAAAAACCAAACCTCTGGATATTAAATACAGTAGTTTAAAGTGTATTAATTTGGCAAGAGATGATTATAAATGTTTCAAACACAAAGAAAGTGTTAATTTACTCAAAAAACAAAACAAATACACACGTGGTATAAATTCTTCATGAAGATGTATATCAGCGTTGGTTAATTTGTACCAAACAGTTTGATTATAATCTGACCAACCTCGGTTATGTATAGCACAACACCTAAGATTACTTTGCATAATATCCCATGCATTAGTTATTTGCATATTTTGGCCGTAATTTGGAAATGTTTTGATCATTCGGTAATATATCAAATTTGTCATCTGTACAGAATCAGGGAAAAAATTAAATGGATAAAATGTTTACCAAAAAAATTTCAATACCAGTCAAAATAATAATTTGTATAGACTGATTTACCTCACATGTGATATTTGTTAAACAATTGCAAACAATTTACTAGTTTGAATTGTTGTGTAGATAAGATTCTGAAAAGGATAATGGGATATTCAAAGGAATCGAACAATGATATGATTTTCGGTATAAATTAACTATGCTATAAAATCTCACTTCAGTCCATCATATTTAAAAATATTCATATTCAAAGATAGCTTACATCACGAGGTGACTTTATTTGGACAACCATTAAAAAGTAAAGAGAAGTGGACTTTTATTTCGTGCTCGTATGAAGCTCAACAATAGTGTATACCTAATACGCTGTAAAAGTTCAAAACTAGAACCTTCATGACTATTAAGGTGTGTATTAACTTCAGGCAATCAAATAACTACTTGAATTTCTAACTTCATTATTTTTTTGTATTATGTAACCGCCATCTACGGGTATCAGTGATACCTGTCTTACCACTGAAATTATTGAGATTCATCCAGCTTACAGTTAGAACTCATGGAACTCTGTTTTGTGTTAACCAGTCTGAATTGTATAAAAAGGATTGATAAACAAAGCACAAGAGAAACTGTAAGATTATGGTTGTCTTATCTGAAGAACCTATTCAAAGTGATTAGCAAAACTATTTAAATCTCTAGTTTCCTATTATTGTTAGTTATTAGCCACCGTAGGTATTGTTTTCTGTTGATGATGCACATCTGATACTTTCACTTGTTGTCGTATTTCAAAGTGCTTCTTTTGTATGCATTGATGCTGGATTCTTTCAGACACTCCAGTTTCCACTACTGACTATGGGACAAAGAATGTCTTTTATGATAAGCGGTTTATTTGATAGCGGAAATTTCGAAGTGGACATGAAAATTATACGTAAATGTCTAGATTACTTATAAGTAGTTAAAGATGCAAGTTAGTAAAGTTCACAGAAATTTTTGGGTTGACGGTAATGTAAATGACAGTTGATTAAAAAAAATCAATTATGTGGACGAAACAGATGTACTTTATATTTATTACAATATATATTTTAAGATGTTTCAAAGTTGCCAGAGTCTCGAAAATGATCCGTTTACTAAGGAATTTCGAAAGACATTATACGACATATGTGTTCACAAAATGTCTATTAAATCGTAGCTGTATATTCTGTTTAGCAAAGTATACAGAAACTCATAAGGAGGTTTTAAATCAATGCTGAAGAAGAGCATGAATATTGTGAAGTTATTTTTGTTAATAAACAAAAACAATTTAAGATGAGCATGTTATTAACTATAACAGATAGATTTTGTGAAGAAAGATAAGAATATTTAAAATACTTTACTCATTTCTTTAATTTCCAAAGTGAATATCCAGGTTCACATGTTTCTAACAGAAACAGTCCAGAATAATGGCAAATACATATGATCAAAAATCCTTTTTGTTAATCATCATATTTAAATTTTAAAATAATGGTAAGAGATTAAAAGATTACATCCTCACTGGTTGAATGTTGAAAACACATTATATACCTATGAATTTTCGACTGTATTTATCAATGTTAGTATCAACTTTTTTTCTGTTCACCAGTTTTCTTAATCATTAGTGAGTGTGAGAGAGTCATTTGGTCTGTGAACTCGGTTACTTAAAACAGACTGCTAGAGAAAACTGGTATACAAATACACGTATTCCACATTATCGTGATCAGAAAAAATCGAGTACGACTGGAAATTTTCGAAAACCTCTTAAATCGCTTTCAACATTTTTACTGACGGTTTTATTTCGTGGAACGTGTTAGTAAAACAACACAGCGGGCTTTGTTTCAAGTTATGAATAATATTCAATAAACACTGAGTTTAAAAAGGATTTATGTTTTAGTTAATACAATTTAGTAGTTATAGACCACAGAAGAGAGTATAAAATAGAATCTGGCAGAAAAAAGTATATATATAATTTGAGAAGCAAATGTCCACTTGATCATACTACTAGTCACATACCCAAATATGTTGAGAAGAGGATGATATATTGTCTAGAAGTGGTGAAAGTGGCACTGATGAAGTAATTGTTTATCTTCCTTCACACCATGATCTCAGTGTTAACTCAAGCAAATTTCTTTTTTTCTTAACGTTTGATCGTTACACTTGAAGTTAACCTCTTATTCATGAGATTTCCACTTTCATTAATCTTGTTGTTGCCATGTTAGCTTGTTAATTTTCATGCCACCGTGCTAATGTGAAATATGGAGACTTGTTGGTATAGAGTAATGGTTTAATAATTAGAGTGCTTGATTTTCGAATACTAAATAGCAGATTTAAGTCCCGCTCTACCTACTTCGATTTGGACAGATAGATAGTATCACCAACCCTCACATGTAAAGTATGACCTCAAAACGGTCACATCTTCCTAATTTTTTTCTCACTAAAACGTATGTGTTTATATACTTGTAGCTCTTCCTAAATTGCATGTATCCGTCTAATAAATTTATCCATTCAATGCTTTATTATAAATATTTAGATGTCTTTGAGTTCAACCGGAAATTATCACATAATATAATGACTTCTATATGTCAGTTTTCCACTTTTCATTCAGTAAATTAACTTTTTTTTACATGCAGTTGCACGTACTACGCAAGATAAAAGTTTCATTAAAATAAATATTTAAAAAAGTAGAAATAATTTCTAATCCATAAATGGTATAGAATGAAAAATAAAATTTATGTAAAATTCAGATGCTCCAAACTATAATTAAACTTACAGTTTTAGGATACATATAAACAATCACCGATGTGCAAGTAGTAGTAATAATGAGAATAACTAAACCAACACAAGTCTAGAAAGAAAATAATATTACATTTTTATTTTTATCAGTATAAAATTAATTACCGTGATAGATGTACATCGATTTGGATGTATGAAACTGAAAAACCCAAGCAGACCAATCAATACAGTGAATACACCACATGTTAGTATAACATAAATTCCACCAAATAATATATATCTTCCAAATATTTCACTGATATATTCAAAAGCAATAAGTATATGACCTATAAAACCGGTTAAAGCTGCACCAAACAACTGAAATATAAGTTTTAGAATAAATAGAAAAATACGAATAATATGAAGCTTACGGTGATAAGTAAACAAAGCAATGAACCGATGATACGTGATGGTATGTTTGCATTAGTTTTCTTATTTGTATGCATCTGTTAAGAAATACATAGATTAAAAAAGACAACTGAGATTTACATCAAATATCCATCTTGTTCAATATTAGGAATTTAATTCAGAAAGTAAGATTTATCAAGTTTTGAAACCTGAACACTTTAATTTTATGGAAGAGCGTTTGTATACGAAATCAATCTAGCTTACACCCTTGTAATTAACTGTAGTTCAACCGGGTTTGGATGTACAAATGATTATATACAGATATATCCACGCAGTGCACAAAATAATTAGTCCTTTATCTAATTTTGAATTGATCAAGACTTGGCCATTCAAATAACTTATCTCACCAAGTGAAAATTTTGGAGTATTGGTAGAAATTTCTGTAAGATATAACATATCTGACGTCAAAAGACGCAGCATTATCTTTTAATTACTGTTTTAAATTGAAGCGACTCACTTGATTCAATTTCCAAAGGGAGAGAAAACCTACTTAAGAAACTCGTAAACAAATAGAAATCGTTGCAAATTAACTCCCTTTAAAATGTAGAATGGAGGCCGAAATAGAACAATTATAGTCGTTGATTAGGCTAGAACACAAAAAAATCCTAAAAATGAGAATTTAACTCAGTTGAACGTTTTAGACAAGTCAGATATCGTTCACATAATAGAGGCAATCGTATATCGAACAACAAACACTGAGTTTAAACACTAGTTGTTTTGGGTTTGAACAGTGAGAGTAAAGTCTACTCGCATTAACACGGGTCGGGGTTGGGTAAGGTGACTTTTGAAAGCGAATTCCATTGGTAATAAAGAGTACGGCTGAAAAACATGGCAAGCATAAATTAATCATATGTTATTCGGTGACAGCAAGGTATGTTGTAAATGTACATGTGAAATGGCCTTTGTAAGTAAAAGAAGTACATACTTGGACATGGTTGTCATCAACAAGTTCATATCTAGATGAGTCTGATGATGTATATACACGTCTGAGCTCTGTGCATTATTATTAAGCATTAGAAATAAAGTTTCCTACCCAGTTTTATTGTGCGTATTCTACTTAACTAGTTGAAAAAGTGTTAAGAAACGTGTATTTGTCACTGTATTAAATTTAATATAAAAACAAGGATTTTATATAAAGAATAGAAAAAATGTGCCTGGAGAATGCTAAGTTTGGTTAATCGTTGCAGTTCACCTTATAAAAACAGTGAAAGACAGTTTAGGCAGGAAGGCTGACCTAAATGATCATTATATGTTATAAGTTAATATTCATATCATTCTAAATCAAACGTGACTTTAGTGATGAAGTAATAGGACGAAACTAAAGTTATGTTCGTAGTCGAGACTGAGTTTATTATTGAAGTCGACTAAGAGTCACATACACAACCACATTTCTAGGAAAGTGGGTTATAGTTGGGGTTGTAAAATATTACTAGTAGTTAGTTCCCAAAACCAATAATTGGTTCTTACAGTTGATATTATATTGTTCAATCAAACAAGAGACGAAATCATGTTGTATGTTAGCTTAATCGAAAAATATCAATGTCTTATTCGTAAATGTGATAAGTTTCCTTCAAAGTACTGAACCAATAATCATAGAAATGTTTAGATTAGGGAAGCATAATACACTTTGAAATAATTGTCAATTACCAACATGACCTTTTGGACTAGTGTTCCAGGTTTTCAAGATTCATAATAAGTGGTAACACAAAATAGATGATAAATTTCTGTTTATTTCTAGTTAGGGGTTATACGATGAGTTATAAGTAGGGCTTACAACGAGGTCAACTTTGTGATTAGGACCATACACATCAGAGGCACTACAACAAATAAATACTCTAATTGATTTTCAATCTGAACGTTTTAGTAAGTTTTGAATCTATTTGAGTTCTATATGTATTTATAAGAACTTATGATTTGAAGATACAGAATCCTTCAATCATTGTCGTGATGTCTAGGCGTTACAACTTTAGCAAACTTGTTTGAGTTAAAGTACATCATCACTTCTTTATAGAACATAGAAAACTGCATATATTATTCGGGCTGGACAACGCTGTGAACGTTACTATTTCCTCAAAGGAAACTTAAACATTTCAAGTAGGATTAATAGGACTTTCGCGTGCATATATGCTGAAAAGGTGTAGAAAGGAAACTTACAATAAGGTTAGTAAGTGATTCAATATAATGTCGTTATACTTAATTAACATGCACCTTAAAAATCCATGAACGAAAAGCTTGAAAACAGCAAGACTTTGTAAACCATGTTTTCTGCTGTTGAGTATCCGAATATTTGATTCATCACATCTGAAACACATTTGGTCAGTTCAAAGTTGTATATTGAGTAACCGAATAGCATAAGAGAGTTCATACTCTCTTGTTATGCCCACTATCATTGAAAACGAGTGTTTTTATGATACAATAACAATGCATATAATTGACTAAGGCATTGATCATCACGGACATTTAGAAAGTTTCAAGTTGACACTATTCTTAGAAGTTACAAGTGAGAAAACTCACATCACTATACAATCCGCACCGTTGCTAAATGAAATGTACAAATTTAAAATGTATCCTTAAAATAAAACGTGCAACGGAATGTTAAAACCATAGCGTTCGAATGAACATCCAAAATGTAATGCTTTGCACTAAAAAATTATACGAGGACAGAGTACTATTTATTAGCGCATAAAAGTGAGATACTTATGTAAGAATTGCTCACCATTTTTTATGATGGATATATGTAGTTCAAAAGTAAGGGTTCGGCTATATGTAAATAGCTCTTGGAGAACGGTAAAATCGTCAGCGGTGAAAGCCTCGCCTTTCTTATATGGCGTGGTGTACTCCGAGATCAACAAGCTGGATTCCGTAAGGGTCGATTGTGCACAGACCAATTCGCGACACTACGGATCTTCGTTGAACATTCAATTGAATGGAATTTGTAACTTTACATCATATTCCTTGATTATGGGGAAGCATTTGACAGTGTGTACAGAAGATTGTAGAAACGTTTTCGGCACTATGGTGTACCGGATTAAATCGTTAATACCATCCGGAATAAATAGTATGCACTACACTGCAAATAATGCATAGAAGTCAGCTGACATGTGCATCCCTAGCGAGTGTAGAATTATGGTATACTTCGTTATCAGGATAATATTATTAATTGACCTAATCCTAAAATCCTAAATATGTCATGACGTGACTGCCTAATCTACAAAATCTTACGTGGGAGTCACATCATTGTTTACACTGAAGATGCCACAAGTATTTGGAGTTCGAAAACGCTTTAACCAGTGCATTTTGAGACTTAGCAGGCGAAGAGTGCGGTTCTTGATGATTGTAGGTTGCTGATAGCTATGGGGGACCGTCTGAGGAACTGAATGATTTGTAGCACATATGAACGTATGCTGTAAGAAGTCCCAATGAGCATCCACATCGAGTTGAGGGTGAGCATCGCAATCCACCTGTTGTAGATAGTCCTGTAGAGCTGACAAATTCAACCGTTTGAAATTTGAGCGCAAGTTGTTGGTGGGATATCTTAGCTCAGTGTTGTTGACGAAACTGAAAGCCATAACGGTGTGATCGCTTTTTCCCAGGGGAGCCAGGATTGAGAGGTTGTCAACTAGGAATTCTTCGTTTGTAAATACAAAGTCTAAGCGCGATGGTGTCTGACTGTTTCTCCAACGAGTTGCCGACTTCACATTTTCGTATAATCCCTAGTCCTCAATGAGGTTGAATAACCGAGCTTCAGTTGAGTTTTCACCTCCATTATACGTATGTTCCGTGAAGTTGACTCTAGGGAGATTGAAGTCCCTTAGAATTAGGATATGGATGAAACCGAAACGAGTAGAGTGGGATAGTCCTTTCCGGTATACGACTGTTATACTCGATGTCGGCAGTGGGCTTCCTATATATGACTCCGACTAGACACCTCGAAGTAGTAAACAATCTTACAGAGCGCCATACGGCTTCATCAAGATTGTTAAACTCTTGGTTGTGAACTTAGTGAACCTCCAGGTAAGTAAGTATAAGGCTAATCCACCCCCAATTCCTGTTTTTCTGTCGTTGCTAAAACAAAACATCCCAGGTATTGCTAGCTCACGGTATGTAAACTGAGAGGATATCCAAGTTTCAGATACTCCTATCAGATGAGAATTATTGGCGTTGCTAATTTCACGTAGCTCATCCATTTCATTTGGAAGACTCGCGGCGTTCATTTATAGCTAGTACACGCTTTCAATTTGAAACGCATGAACCTTATGTGAATGAACAGGTAGCCCAACTATATAGTGCTTGCCGAGTTGGTAGTCCATGTCCTTTACACGTTTATTTTGTCATCGAGAGAGTCCAAAAGTGGAATGGTCAGCTCCAACTTGTCTTTGTGCTTGGTCCTAGCTTCATAAGGCCTATCCGGGTGCATGTGGATTCCAGCTGGCTACCGAGGTCTGTTGGCACGAAATGCTTCCAGAGTTGCAGCTGCCACATCGAAGGATGGAAAAGTTGTCTTCATTAGCCGGGTTTTAGAATCTCCGTCTTTTTGGCTAGTCTCGTCACATGTTGAGTCAGTATGTTTTTGAGCCTCAGGGATTGCTTGATGAAATTCCATTCCCCAATATCAGAGTTTGTTTGACTAGGGTTGGTGTTTTTCGGTACACCTTGCACAGTTATATTTCTTCCGCAGAAAAACTTCTCACAACGTTATTTAGAGATGTTCCGGTTGAGATTGCGCTCAGAATACGGTATGTCGGGCATTATTCTTACGTTGCCATCGGATTTTAGTAAATGACTAGCTAACAGGACATACTATAAGTCGGTAGCATTCTTAAGTGTTACACAAAGTAGCCTCGGGTGATTTTGATGCTTAGAGTCCTTTCCCCGAGTGATCCGTGTGACAGTCAAAGACTCCATTCTAGGAAGTTTAAGCTTCTTGTTTAATTCTCTTCGGAGCATCCCGTCATTTTTGTCATGCAAACTAAGAGAAAGGTCAGGATTGCCTTTGAGGTTATGATTATGAGAGAGTCATCACGAACCGTTATTATTT